AGCTCGATTATTCGAATTACGTTTAATTCATTTCCATCTCGACTGATGGTAATGTTCTAGTACCTATATAACGTGACTACCAAGAATAGTCGAATGAACTTTGTTACTCGATAAAATGTTAAGATATATTATATATTTATTTTATTATCAGTCATATTCCATTCCTGAACGAAACTTACATTTTGTACGCCAAGTATTTAATTGGCTTGAAGAAATCTCTAAATTATTACTATTGTATTGAAATTTCCAGAAAAAGCATTAAAAATACACACATATAATTTTAATGATTTTTCTGGAAATATCGATAATGACGTAAATTTTAAGTTTACTTTTATTTATTTATTTTAGGAAGATTAACGATGCAATTCTATAATAATAGGTTACTGAACAAATTGAATTGTTTTGTGCCAATTAATTATTGTAAGTACAGCTTACATAATGACATGTGTATTGTTGATAGAACTTTTACGAAGGAAGAGGTAGTATTTAGGAAAGGCTGATTATCCCAATGGTGATGTACCTCTTCCAGTCAACCATATGTATTCATCTCGTTTTAATCATTAACATGCATTAATTTTGGTTTCGTCCGATAAAACATCGAGTTACGGTAGTGGTGGCCACTCCAGCATAAATTAATGTTAAGAAAGGCATCCATTAGCATCAATAAATGCGGTTGCGCAAGACAACAGATGTCCGAGTAAAGATTTTTATTAGAAACGTGATGAGTGTATTGGTAACGAAATCAGTGAGTGAACGATTGCGGCGGCTACGTGATCGCAGCGACACCATCCGGCCGGTGTGAAAAATTATTATTTTTTGATAACTCAATGCCCCATCGGTAACGCTGTAATTGCACGTTTAGCGGTTTGTATTCCGACGAAAAGATAATTTCTCGGTTTCTTCCCACCCTTTGTGACGACTAAACCGATTTCCTGCCGAGCTACGTGAAAATTTAAACCAACTTAATCCCCTATCGAGCTTTTAATGACATTTTCTCGGAACGTGAAGCCACAAGAAAACAACCAGCATACCCTGCGATGGTTAGCCGCAAATCATAGAAAGATTTGTAGCATTGATAAAAATAAACGACTGGAGAGATTACGAAATCAATATGAAATTGCATTTCCTAATGTCAATTGTTAGTTTCGAAGTGCAATAAAGTTCCAATAATCATGATATGAAATAATTCCTGAGCGATGTGCCTGCTGGACTGTGTGCTGTCCTTGTTGGATATTGCTTGTATTTGCATTTGCATCTCGCTCTTGGCCGGAGGATTGCACGAGGTATGATGAACTCGGTAATGATCCAATCAGAAGTGAAGTGCATCAAGTCCGGGCCGCTGTGAGAATGCGGTTAAGGGTGCAAAAACTACGAGCACAATTTAAATTAAACTGATCGTTTGCTTTTATTTTGGAACACTACTCTAATAAGTATATATCTTCTTATCCAATAACCAAATAAATTCCTTAATGTGAGATAATGAATAATTAAAATCTAGAATGCATCTTCATTAGAACATACTGACTTAAGCAGTAACATTTTAACCGTAAAATTATAACCATACCGTACACAAGTACCTATTATAGTATGCCCAAAATATTTTTATGCGCATCTCAAAAAATGGTAAAACTACAATCAATTTCACGGAGTACAATAATTTACACAACAAAATTGCACGAAAACTTGTAAAAGTCTCATTTATTGCCGGCATTGCACCAATAGGCACTAAGTGTTCGCTGTTAAAAACCATTTTTTGGAATTAAAAAATAAGTAATGGTCTCAAAACACTGGCTGTTACGTATTACGTTTCTCGGATGGCTTGTAATTATTTTAAATGTCCCGCGTGCGCCTGCGCAGGCAAGCGCATCGTGCCCCGGGCAATCCGCCTGTGATCGACAATCCATATTGAACCTGAGAAAACAAATTTACCCTTATAAATAAGCAATTAATTACTGACGCATAATATTTATTTGTAATTTTAAAGAATATTCATCCAACGATTAACTGAATAAGATTTAAATTTAAGAATTATAAAGCTCATCCATCTCAAATAGACGCAATAAGAAATTGAAGATAAATCTTTACATGGTATAAAATAAAGTCGCATCTGCTATCTGTTTGCTTAGATCTTTTAAACTACGCATCAGATTTTAATTCAATTTTTCGCAATAGATAGATTGATTCAAGAGGAAGGTTTGTATGGATAATACATGTATACCAGGGGTGGTTAGCTAGGTTTAATTAATTATTTGATTGCTAAAATTGCTTACGAATATAAAAGAATTGTTACATTAGGCATTCTATGTACTTAATTGCATAAAAACCCAATTGTTGACCATAATACAAAAATTCGTGGCAAATATATAAATAACTAAACATTTTAAAGAAATGTTACAAAATAAAAATAATAAGATTATTACAATTATGATCATTATCAACTGAAGTAAAAATTACTTTTACTTACATAAAATTCATTTTAATCTGTTAAGTATTCAATTTCAATTAAAATCAACGTATCAAATATTACAGTGTGTATGGCCGCCTAAAACACCTTAAGAAACTTTAACATACCCGTCCCTATGCTGCAGTCTCACGAGAAAATCTCGTCAGGTAATTCAAGTCCACAATCTACGTGTACGCGGGAGGAAGCTCCTCTGTAAATTACAGTGAAGGCACTAATACAGTTAAATCTCATAACATATCATGTCGATATTTCTGTTTTATTTGCAATTTTTTGGCTAAATGTCTGAACTGACTTTAATTAAGGACGTGATTAATTAAATCACTTAGGCTATCTTCTAACACAAAAAAAGCTTAACGCATCTAACAGCAATTTGCTGATAAAAGTAATAATGACAATACAGTTAATTGAATTTGAAAAATTCCCTGTCGGCCTTCATATCAGGAAGTAGGTACTTATCGTAGATATATGTAATCGTAAATATTAGATCCACTGTATATATACCTAAAACAGGCCACGATATCTAAGTTTATCGTTACACAAATTATCTTTCACGTATAAACGTATGTATCGATAAATGTAATACGTTATATGACTCACTTCAAGTCAGTTGTACGTGGGTAACAAACATCTAAATTAAATAAAAATGTCCAGTTACCACCAGCCTTACGTGCCTCAGATTGAAGACGATGTAAGTACCGCACTATTCTAATAATAAATTTTTTATTTTTCTAATATTCATATACTACTTCATTACATGTTGTAAACCTACTAACAGGCTGAAGGCAGGCGTGCATGAACACATTTCATAATAAATGTGAAGTTGTCTGTGAGAAAATAGTGATATAAAACCATTATTAAAGGCATTTTATATTACGCAGTGAATTCTTTCAGCACAAATTTTATTCTCAGACTTTCCCTAAACTTGGGAATGTATATCAAATTAGATATATAAAAGCAACATCTGGTATATATGTTTCATTAATTTGCAAATTTTTGTTTGGAATTGTATTATTTTTAATTTTAGCTTACATATTTTAGTGAGAACATATTCCACGAAATATATTAATTGCACGTCTCCCTAACATCTATAAAGATTATAACAGGTATAGTAATATGCAATACCCAACTACTTAATATAATTCCAAAATAATTAGGCACTGTAATCATAAGTACTTATATAAATCAGAACAGCATTTCGTACCATAACTAATCTAGCAATCAAAAACACATTTAGCCAAGTAGGTACCTACGTGTAAGTAGCTATCTCTATTACCAAAATTCTATTATTTTTAACGGCATCGAATAGAAGTCATCGGAGTTGGTCATGCGGAGCGGTGACAGTGAACGGTCAGTCACGGCCAAGGCCGAACCGAGATTCTATCTTGAACTTAATAATATAAGTAAAAATTCCTCTCACCACAACAAAACACCGGGAAGTAGGTATAAGACAGTGCTTTTATGTACGACAGTGTGGTGGACGTGCATTTAACTAGTTTATTATTTAAAATAGTAGATACGCGTGTCAGGAGTGTACTTAAATAATTGTAGCAACTTATTGTTACCATCAGTGAAAGCAACAATGATGAGATCAACGCTTCGAGAGATTGTTGCGAAGGTATCGGTGGACGCTAAACAAGAATTGGTATGATTAAGTTATATTTTATGCAATTTATATGTAGTTTAAATAGGTAGATACTTAAGGTATATTTCATATCGATTAATGAAAATTACCAAAGTGCTTCCTATGTCTTGGATTGTTAGTGCCGTGTAGATAGATACTGTTCCTACATTAATACTAGCTTCAACTGTTCGTGGTCATCTACACGGGAACACGTGCAGGAATGGGAAGACATGTCTTTGTAGTCCATCCAAGGTTAATCCTTATACATAAATAATTATCATTGTATATCTAATAGGTATTAAGGGTGAGTTATGACCTGATTTCCTCTTCATTGTTCAAACCATTTAAGCATCATCTGAATAAAAAAAACCCTTTTTTTTTATATAACAAACAAGGGGATTGTTAGCAATGTGGTACTAAGACAGGTTGAACTCCACATTATGTGATAAAAATCAGGCCCTTCTGAAAATCTTTGTTTCATTCCTGTCCTGTGGTGGTCTTTCGAATTCCAACTAATCGCCCTGAAAATATTTATCCTATTGTATCCACCTTCCGCTGATACTCCGCTACCGTATGCCAAAAATTATCATAGCGTATACTCAAGCCATATTCGGGCATATAAAAATATGTCCTTTAGGTATTTTTTGCAAATTAAAATTGTTGTAGTTTATGGAAACCGTAATTTGATAATACCTAAATAACATTGTTCATAAACTGATAAAAGTGCCTACTTTACTAAAATATTAATAGTTAATATGTAATATTATAAAATGTAACAATATTTAATGTTTATTCAGTATTTTTGCATCAACATTGTTATTGTAGTCGCTCGTCTGTTTAGTAGAATACTCCGTAAACGCTTTACGTCACTTTAGCGTCATCTGTCATCTGTCTTATGAAACTTTTTGACAACACCTAGCAAAACAATGTTTTTATTAAATCCGTCACTTAAAATTCTTTAAAAAATGTTATTAAAGTGTTTTTATATTATAAAGCAGACATACATAAAACTGTGATTAAACCTATACAGGGTTTAGAATGTGAATTGTATCAGTTATTCAAAGTAAACTCAATTCTAACCCTCTCTTATAGTTTTCCTGCTTGTGTGATGAGAAATCATCTTAGATGTTCTATTCATACCGTAGTATTGTTTATTTAGCTTTCTACTGTTCAACCTTTTTCATAAAAGCTATAACTATACAGAAGACTGATTTTTTTGTTTATCACCATAAGGAAAATCATCCATCCTGTGGTTATGACAAACAATTTATATTACCAAAAAGAAGTTGTTGGAAGTCATCTTCATTAGAAGATAGTAGTGATACTGGGAAGTTGGCTAATATGGCTGGAACAAATGGATTTTACCGACCAAGAAGTGCCCTGGCTCGGGCTTTTTATGAAAAACAGCGGAATGACAGACATCTGCAAGAATTGGACCAAAATGAGGTAACTATTATTATAATGCTTCTTGCAGCAGTACACAGATTAAAAATGTATTATTAACAAATTATGAACACTGAGAAAATTTATTTTTTTACATAAATAATATCATACAAAAGTTTTAAAAAAAATTATAAATATACTTGACTGTTCACTGTGAAGTAATGAATAAAATTACAGTTTATTAATGAATTTCCTCGTATAAAATAAATAACACTTAATTTAGACATATATTTATTGGACTTATACAAGGTTTGAGTTACATTAGTTGTATGAAATGTACTGATTTCCTGAGTGAATGAAAAAAAGTATCCACCATGTTAATCCACAATAAGATGTAACTTTATGAGAAATTTCATTCAATGCATTCTATTCATTAAAAGAATGTATTTGTCACAATTATATTAGTAATTTTGTATAGTATTAGATATTAGTATTAGCATTTCGTAAGGAATATAACTTTTTTTTAATATTGATATAAATTAATTTTTTTTTCATGCTATAACACAGCAAAAAATAAACAGTGGTTTCAGACTACTGAGAGTATATTTTGTCTATGTATACTTTACCATATTTTGACTATCAATAATTACATCTATTTATTAAAAGATATCACACACAGTCCTTTGCTACACTGTACAATATTCATATTTGGAATATTGCTTAGATGATATACTGATATTTTTTTTATAAAATATGTTCATGTAATTGAAATGAAGCAATCTGATAGTGAACCTTATGTTAAGAGGCACCATTGCCTACACATTTGAACATCACTAGAAATTTCACATTCTTATGTGTGTGACTCCCACACAACTCTGCCATTCCAGAGGACTATAATATCAAGCCTTTGATCCTGTAATTTAACTACCTGCTGTGCACCCTACATCTGATATACAGCTTACAAAGCAAGCTACTTGGTGACTTAAATAAGTAATACTGAAGCACCCATGCAGATGGCTTTTTATCATCTATGCCTCATAAATCTATATATATATATATAATAGTTGTGACATGTCACAGTGTTAGTTGCCATACTTCTCAGCTTAACGAATGTTGATAAAATTTTATATGTATACTTGAAAAGCCTTTTTAATATCACTTTGTCGTAAGAGTGGCCTATTCCAATTTATTTTTTTATTTGTGGCACATAATTTTTTTTGACATTTTTATAAGACTTGCAAGCTGCTCTTTATAATTTATATAAAGTGCACAAGTTTCTTGTGATGACCATTCCAAATGAGTGGTATACTTCTTTCTTTTTCTTCTTCTTATACCATCCTCGAGTAGTCCCCAGCCAGCGAACCATAAGTTCATATTTATCTATAAAAATGGAACAATAAACTTACTGGATATGATGGCATATCTTTTTTATCCTATCAAATAGCAATGCATAAAGGATAGCAAGAATATAGCACTATATTTTTTATCTGACTGATTTCCTCTTATTAATTGTTTAACCAGTTGATTATGTATTCAATTTTTTTTTTTGAGTATTTAATTGAATTAGTGCTAATCGGTGGTTTATATTCACACACTTAAAATTAAATTGTAAGTAAGAATAAATTATTTAAAAGAGCAACACACAAGTTTCTTGCTTGTTCTTCTTGTGATGAGACAGCATTCCGAATGAGCGGTAGATTAAAAAAAAAAAAATGTTATGACTATTCAAAAGTGCTTCAATGTAAGTTTATTTGAATAAATGATTTTCTATTCTTTCTATTCTATTCTATTCTATTCTATCTCTGCTGTTCATCATGTTAATAAGTGAAGGCTGATGCATTCCATCAGCCTGTTTGATGCACAATCTGATGCAGGTCAGTGTCATTAATATATTTACTAACACAACTTAAATTGAATGCAATATACCAATACATCATATAAAAAAATTAAAGGTAACATTGTGTACCTATCCTGTTTACCTGTTTTATATTTCTAATTATAGTATTATTTCATAGAATACTGTATTTTGCGGTGGCAGATTAGGAACTTTTATCCAATTTGAAATAGTAGAGTAACAATATTTTTATTATTTATTTACAGTATTGAAGTAACACTATAAGGTCATATGCAAGAAGTAATATAATATAACAATACATAATGAATAATAATTTAGGTATTTGCTTGCTGTATGGTACAGATTTGGATGTTACTAAGTAAAAGTACATGACATGCAGCACCCCATGAAGAACAAAAAAACATCTTTATAAGATTTTTTGACTAGAAATAAATATATTTAAATATAAAAGCCAAGTTTTTTGAATGATTATTATGTTTAAGGGAATGTTTTCATTATTATTTTGATAATAGATAGCAATTATTTGATTATTAATATAGGATTACTTGTATGCTTGTTTGTACTGTTTGCTCCTCTATATTAACATTTTCATTGCTGTAAATATTACATATTCATTCTAATCAACATTCTTCTTTACTTTACTGGATATAAATTTGTAATGGAATTTTAGTATCCCATCATCCCATCTGATAGTAAGTGGTAATTGTGGGACATCACATCTAATGTCATGCCTCTTATCCTGTAATTTCACTGCCTTAACGTGTCTCCATATGTATTTCAGTGGTGTAACAGTTTGTTTTATATTTAAAACAGCTACAGAGTAAAATTGTAATTTCATTTATTAGAACATTTCTTTATGCATGTAAAATGTATGAACATTTCTTTAAGACTTGCATATTAACAATTAGTATTTTTTATGCAAATCCATTTACATATGACATATGTTATTCTGGACTAGTGCATCTTTATAATTCTTCTATATTATGTTTATTTGTCACTAAAGTTCTCCTAAACTGCTCGATCGAGCTATTTGGGTGAAATTTTATACGTATATTTCAAAGGGTCCTGATTGAATTAAAAACAAAATTGGAGCCGTTACGTATTGCTTTTCCGGGCTTTCCATTTTCTTTCCCGGCACAACGATATCTCATAAGTCCGCTAGTATTAGTATAGATTTCATTTCAAACCCTATAAAATATTATAACTTAACGAAACCCGATAATGATGCCAAATTTAACTTATATTTGACGGGATTTTTTCAATTATTATCACAAAGTAATAATGAAAATTTCTCACACGCTGTCATGCGTTTCGCCCACTCTAAACAGTCAATGGCCCTTAGTCAACTAGTCGGACTTCTCGATAGGACACTTATATTGTCACCAAACAATTTAATAAATATATTCATTCTTGTACTTAACTTATATTTTACACTTGCTGATCCGCGCAATTTCATCTGCATCACATATTAGCAATGCCTTCCTCGATAAATGCGTTATCCAACACTAAAATATTTTCATATCGAGCCATGCTAAAGTAAAAAAATTTTTTTTTTATTTTATAATAGCATATAGATATCTACATATGCCTTATCTCGAATTCTGCTTTTAAGTAATAAGGTAAAAATAGTTTTCTTAAAAGGTTTTACCCTTATGACATTATAGTACCTACCTATAGATAAGGTTATCGAAAGATTATCTTAGGATTAACTTAAACTTAACTTATTTTGGGATGGATGTCTGTTTATCACGTCATTTCGAAAACAAAACTTAATTGATCCAACGAAGTTTTATATTACTCTTGAATGAAATTTATGTCAAGGCATTGTGATAACAGCATTCAATCTAACTGACAGACCAACTCGTAATTCCAAGTCCTGTGTATTAAACATCCAGTCATAAAGAATATGTCATTTAGTACAGTCCTTATAATTATTACTAATTTCTATGGGAGTCACCGCGGAAACACCTGACATATAAGTAAGATAAAATATCAAAGCAATAAACATACAAAATGTGCTCTAAATCAATGTGTAAAAAATCTTAACATAAACCACTAAGATATGGTATCATATTCATGATTTAGATCTTTATTGTTTCGGGCGTCCATACTCCAGATTACATCCTAACTAATATTCCTAATATTAGTGATATTGCCGAATGTAAAGTAATGTCCTTTGAACTAGTGATATCTCATAAATGAATTTGTCCATTATCGAAATTGTTTGTACATATATTTAAAACTATGCACACTTTAAAAGAAATAGTACAAGTAGTATATTAAGCTCAAGTTTTTCCTGCCATATCTCTTCAAATCAAAGCTCGAACGATAACGACGTAACGTTTGTCGGGTGCGTCGTTTGATTGCTGGATCCAATTTTTCCACACCGGGACAATTCCCTCAATCTTGTATCAGCCAGACTTTTGCCCGGGGTTTTTCATACGTGGCGCACACGCAATCGGGCCTCACGTGTGCCTACTGCCTACATAACGAGGATATATTTGCGTATGAAGAACACGAAATACCTCTGAATTGTGGAGGAATAAGACATTCAACCCGCTCCTCCCCACGAGACCACCCCACCCGGCCCCGCGACCCTTTTAACTTTCATCTCTGTCGAGTGCTCGGTCCACATACTTTTGTTTTATTTGATCAATGTTATTAAAATGTCGCGGGCTTGCCGGATTACAAACATCTGACTATCGTACAAGCACATCCTGAAACGAACTCGCTGAATTCAAATCGAGATAGGTCTGCGGTGAACCGATTCCCCTACTATTTATTTCATGTTTAGATATTTAAATACATTCGCCATGACTATCAGTTATATTACTTTATAAAATTACCTTAGACTACATTTTCTAAAAGTTCAGTTAAACTCTGGTTGTATATATTAAAATGACATCCAAGTTAAAATTTAAGTATTTAAAGGTGTAAAAAGTATTGAATATCAATTATGTGACACATTTTAGTTAGTGGTTTTTTCCAGTAGAGTAAATGATACACCACCATAAATGTACATTAATTATCACATTTATCTAGCCTTAGATCATGATTACCTAATCAATCTTCAACTACAATTTCTCAAACAAATTTGGATAATACCTTCAGAAGTCTGTCTGTCTCTATTTATTTCAAAATTGGTCCGAGGAAATGGTAGTTCACTTAATTCTGATTCTTATTTTAAATTCTTTTATTCTATATCAAC